GCACATGGCTGCTGCGAAGAGGGTGTTGCGCTACTTGTGCAGTACGTCGGGCATGGGGCTTGTGCTTGGAGGGCGGAGTCCAGTGGTCCTCACTGGTCACGCAGACGCTTCTTGGGCTGACGACCAGGCTACGCAGCGGTCGTCACAGGGTTACACCTTCAGCCTTGGTTCCGGCTCTGTTTCGTGGCGGTCTACCCGCTCGTCTTCTGTTCTCGGCTCCAGTTGTGAGGCTGAGATCTACGCAGGGGCCATGGCTGCACAGGAGCTACGCTGGCTCACCTACCTGCTGACTGACCTTGGAGAGCCGCCTCGTTCTCCTCCAGTTCTGTACGTAGACAACAAGGCTATGCTGGCCTTGTGTCGGGAGCTCAGACTGGAGCACAGAACGAAGCACATCGCTCTTCGCTACTTCCTTGCTCGTGAGCTTCAGCATCGCGGTCAGCTGCACCTTGCTTACGTGGCCTCTGAGGCCAACACTGCTGATATCTTCACCAAGGCACTTGCGCCTTGTGACCATCAGCGCTTCTGTACTCTGTTAGGTCTTGTACCTACCTTGCCTCACTTGCTCACTTCTTGACCTTGCTTGTACTGTTACATATATATATACCTGCTCTTGCTTGTTTAGCGTTATATATATGTGTATACTCATGCATGTGAACTGGCCTTGTGGCCTTGACCTTGTGCTTAGAATATGTGGTGACGTTGTGATCCACCCTGAGCTTGCTTTGCCTTGCTTTGCTTGACTGGTCTTGCGACCCCTTGTTCTCCCCCACTTTGCCTATGGGGGTGTGTCAAACTTATATGATCTAGCCTGTGTAGGCTGTAGCGGGTTAGATACTAAGGGGTACACAATTCTAGGGTTTCATATTTGTATCACTTCATTCCTTAGTCATTCCATCCTCGTTCTAATCTTTACAATATGGACCAGCAATCTTTTGCATATTGAACCTTTGTCAAAAACACGATATTGATTGGCACGATGCTCCTCAAACTCAGATATGGACCAGCAATCTTTTGCATATTGGACATGTGGGGGCAATTCTGTTGGTTGCACAACTTTTCGAGCACGAACTCTAGGAGAGGGATGCGTTGTGCTAGCGGCAACCGAACAAGTATGGGCGGAAAAAGCACCCGTACTTGCCGTGACCATCGACCCCTGCCCACGTCGTGGACCTCTCTCCTCCTCATCATCCTCGGAACCCTCCTCCCTAATCTTGAATCAAAGCGTCAGCCGTTGCCAAGGAGTACGTCGCTATGATGACATGGTTGATGAGGTGTGTGGTTTAGAGGGTGAGAGGAGGGCATATCAGACAGAAAAACAAGAAGGGAGAGGGGGAGGTTAGGAAGTGAAGGGGGAGGGGGTGGGGGGGGAGGGGGGGGGTGGAGGGGGTAAGGCTGTTACGGAATTGAGTTGGTTATGAAGGGGAGGGTGGACAGGGTAGGAACTGAACGTCAGCAAGGGAAGCCGGACGAGGGAAGTAGACCGTAAAGTTGGTTCTTGGGATGGGAGGGTTGGGGGGTGAGAAGGTAGGGGTGTTGGGAAATAAGGGGGGAGGACTTACATCTAAAGGACGGAAGCCGGGCTCACAGGCGGCTGAGAAGCCAAGGAATAGGAGGGGACGAGGAAAGTGCGGATGGAAAGGAGGGGATTGTAGAATTGATTTCAAGGCTCAGAGGATGGGAAGGGAGAGATGGCAGTTGGGAAGTAAGGGTACTAAAAAACTCAAGACGCGAGGGTGTCGCGATGGAAGAGGGGAGAGGTGGGATGGAAGGGAGTGAGGATGGGTAACCCTGAAACAGGACGGCATGGGAGCTGGAATGGCACATACGGCAACTCAGAATATTGGGATTCTCAATAAGGGAAGGCGGTGACAGTGCTCGCGTAAGAATATTTGGGACGCGGGGACCCTAAACTAATGTGAGATAACCAGGGACGAAGGGTGACAGTTGAGTGAGGAAAAGGGCATTGGGATGGAAGATAGGGGTTATGGAAAGTAATAGTAAGGGACGTGGGAAGCACCTGATGATGGAGGGGTGATGAGATGTAGGGGCACAAATTTCAGATCACTAACCCTGGAAGGGAGGGGAGTAGAATACCGTAAAGCACGTGGGAACGTTGACAGCGCGGGAGGTCGGGAGGGCTGGTTTGAAGATTGGGAGGGGGATGAGAAGCAAAGGATTTGAAAGGGCAGGGATGTGGTTAGGAACAACAAGTTGGACTAGCGTGGGAGTTAAGATGATAATGAAAGGTGAGGGGATCTGATAGATGGGGTTAGATATGGGAGGGGAGGGAAAGGACGTCATGCCAAACGCTGACACGACCGTCCTGTGATCATTGTCTGAACGATTGAAATCAGAAGAGGGGGATATCAATGAGAACAGATTGGGAAACGAGAGGAAGAAGAGGGGGTGAAGAGAGGAAGCAGAGGGAAAATGCGGTAATTCATTGGCCGAAGGTCGGATAGGAGAGGAGGATACAAGTGTATGCCTTCTTGGAAATGAAGGGCAGTGGGAAAAGGGCAGCTTGACAGAAGGGCTGTGTGGGAGGAAAGATAGGGCAGGGAGCTCAGGACTGTGGAGGAAAGGAAGGGCAGGGAACGGGGTGGGGGGGTAAGGCTGGCACGGAAGTGAGTTGGCTATGAAGGGGAGGGTGGACAGTGCAAGAACTGAACGACAGCAAGGGAAACCGGCCTAGGTAAGGGAGAGCAAAGAGAAGAGCAAAGAAGGGACCGAGGGACGGGAATGTAGACAAAGGGTAGGAAGGATAAGGAAGGAGACTGTAAAGTAGGTTCTCGGAATGGGCTGGCTGAAGGTTGGGAAGGTAAGGGTGCTGGGAAAGAAGGGCGAATGACTCACATTTAAAGAACCGGAGTCGGGTTCACAGGCACCTGAGAAGCAAGAGAAGAAAGGGGTGAGTGAGTTGGCGGGGAAGAGAGAGGAATAGGAGGGGATGGGGGAAGTGCGGATGGGAAGGAGGGCATTGCAGAATTGATTGAACCGGCTCCGAGAATGGCAAGTGAGGGATGGCAGATGCGAAGTAAGGGTACTCAAAACTCTAAGGCTCGATGGCCTCCTTCCAGGTGAGAATGTCAGGTCGACCGGTGAGTGGCGGGGTGACCAAGATCCTGTCCGGCATAAACTTGAAGTAGCCGTAGCTCGGTGCTATCCCGCCCGCCGTCACATGTGTCGCCGACATCGGCGACAGTCTGCTTCGTCGACCTCCGACGTCACCCTGCGAGGAGCCTGCACCCGCCGACGACCGCACCCCTCGCGCCTGAACGCCGCCGATTTCATCGACGTGTATCACACCACGCTGCCTCGACGTGCCTCACGCACTGCTGCCGACTTGGCCACCTCCAGCGTTGACGCCCACGTCAACGCCACCTTCGTTGGTCACCGGTCGAGGAGAAGCTGGTCGGGAAGGGGGATGCTCCGTTGCCCACATGGTGCGGAGTCCAGCCTCGACGACCGCCCAGGGTATCGCCCCGTACTCCTGGGCCTCATGCTGTCTCCTCGCATCCTCCAGCCGTCCCTCCAGGGTGTCCATCACCTCTGTGTCACCTACGCGCATGCTAGGGACTGTACGGGTGCCGGCCAACAAGCAACTTAGGTAAGGGACCACTACGTCGACCTGACTGAAAGGTAAGTCGTGTGCCGTCCACGCTCACCGCACCATGCGGAGATGACTACTACAACGGGAGCTAGACTACGGGCTAGGCATGGATGCTCTTGTGATCTCTGCGTTCGTTGGTCCTTAGTCTTTTTCCTAGTGCACACACTGCTTGCTAGTTCACGGGGAAATTTGGCAAGAGTTTCACTAGAGAAAGTTGACAACAATGGTACAATGAAGTTGGCATGGCAAAACTACATCAGAGCTAGCATTCAGGTCGGTCGACTGCCAGCACAGCATGGTCGACCGCGTTCCAGCACGACTTGGTCGACCGCGCTCCAGCAGTGCAAAGTCGACGGCGTGCCAACACTACAGGTCGACGGCGTGCCAGCATTGCTCCCGCAGAACAGCAGCGCACCCGCTTCGCAGGTGCTCGCAGATGATTGGCGGGCTGAGCCTCGTCACCTGCACACCGCACACACCACGTCATCCTCGTGCTGACGACTCCACTTGATCCGCCATGTCGACCTCGGGATACCACCACCGAGGTCAGACTCGCCAACTTCGCATGGGCGACTGTGGCATTCCTCCGCAGAACCTCGTCACCCAGGTAACCTGGTCGACTGGGCAACCACGTCGACCAGCTGCTCCCGTACGTGCCCGTCGACCTCCCAAGTCGACGACCACCTCTAGTCGGCCTCACCAGGTCGACCACACCCTTAGTCGACCACCTCCAGGTCGACGTCACTCCTGGTCGACCAACTCCACGTCGACCAGCACTCCTGATTGACCTGCACGACGTCGACCAGCGCAGTTGTCAGCCGACCACCCAAGTCGGCTACCCGAAGTCGGTGTCACCAAGTTGACGCCCTGCTACTCGACGCCCAGCTGCTCAGCGTCCTGAGTCGAGGTCGACGTCGGCCCCTCCTCGTCGATTACCAGGTCCTGGTCGACCACCAGGTCGACATCACGCCTAGTCGACCACCACCAAGTCGACCAGCAGGCCTGGTCGACCAACCACCAGGTCGACCAACAGTCCTGTCAGCCGACCACCCAAGTCGGCTGCCCCCAAGTTGGCGTCACCAAGTTGACGCCCTCCGCAGGTCGACTTCCCAGGTCGACCTCCCTAAAGTCGGCGCCACCCCGAAGTCGGCGCCTGTGCAGTGGTCCCCGTGCAGGTCGACCTCCTCGTCAACCAGCCCGCCCACTGCTGCAGGTTGGCTGCTCCCCCCACACCCGACCACGAAGTCGGCTCCGCCCAAGCGAGGACGGGGCCAACACACAACTCCCGTTGACAAACTCAAGATGTGAGGGTGCCGCGATGGAAGAGGGGAGAGGTTGTATGGAAGGGAGTGATGATGGGTAACCTTGAAAGGGGACGGCATGGGAGCTAGAATGGCACCCACGGCAACTCTGAATAATGACCGGGGATTCCCAATGTGGGAAGGCAGTGAGGGGGGAAGCGTAAGAACATTTGGGATGCGAGAAAAAAAAGTAGGTTGAGATAAACAGGGAGGAAGGGTGACAGTTGAGTGGGATGGAAGGGAGTGAGGGGGGAAATATGTGTAGAGGGGGACAAGAGGAGCAGAGGGGGAAAAGAGGAGCAGAGGAGGAAAGAGGAGCAAGGGGGAAAAAGAGGGGCTAAGGGGGAAAAGAGGGGCAGAGGGTGGAAAAGAGGAGAAGAGGGGGAAAAGAGAAGCATAGGGGAAAGAACAGCAGAGGGGGGAAAGATGAGAAGGTGGGGAAAGAGGAGCCGAGCGGGGAAAGAGAGGAAGCAGGGGGGGAAATGGGGGCAGGGGGGGAGATGAGGGCAAGAGGAGTGCGCGCGGGGTGGCGAGAGGAGCGCGTGTGGGGAGGCGAGAGGATGGCGTGCGGGGAGGCAAGAGGAGCGCACGTCGGGAGGCAACAGGAGCGTGTGCGGGGAGGCGAGAGGAGCACGCGCGGGGAGACGAGAGGATGTTGCGCGAGGAGGCGAGAAGAGCGCGCCCGGGGAGGAGAGAGGATGCTGCGTAGAGAGGCGTCTCATGCGCGTGGGGAGGCGAGAGGAGAACGTGAACCGGGAGGCGAGAGGAGCACGCGCGGGTAAAGCTAGAGGTTGCGGAAAGGGGATTTCGGGCGGCAAAAAGTGGAGTTCAGACAGCGGGAAGGGGAGCACGGGCGGCGAGCAGGGGAGATGGGGTGGCGGGAAGCAGAGGTCGGGCGGTGGGATGGTGAGATGCGAGTGGGGCCTTGCTTCCCCCTTCTCACCGCAAAATAAGCTAAAGATGTGAAGGCGCGTACACCCTCTCACATCTGTGCGACGACTACCAGTGGTCGCTCGAGGAACGCGACGAGAATGGCATGGTTCTGTTATTGTGCGAGACCGTGCGAAGAGGGGATTCGAGAACGAAATTCTGTATGTTCCGCGTTTTGGGGCTGGAAGGGCTTGTTCCGGGCGTTTTTATTCCGCCGGGTCACGTGGCTACGCTTGTCTGTGTCAAACTCATATGCTATAGTCTGTGTAGGCTGTAGTGGGGTAGACAATATGGGGTACAACACTTTTAGGTTTTCCTACTTGTACCCACCTGCTTGCTAGTTCATTCATTCCTCATTCTTCACATGGTATAGAGCAGGTTCCCTCGTGGGAACGCTTCTCAGGGCCCACCACCTAACTCGATCTTTTTTTTTTTTTTTTTTTTTTCCTGCCCGAGGCGTGCCCCGTAGGCCGCCCCTCCCGTCGCGCCCTCCTAGAGGCCCCTAGCGCCACCCTTAGCGGCCCCGTCGCCGTCCTTAGCGACCCCGTCGCCGCCCCTCTAGGCCCCTCGCGGCCCCTTCACGGCCCCTTCGCCGCCACTTGCGGCCCCGTCGCCGCCGCTCTAGGCCCCTCGCGGCCCCTTCACGGCCCCGTCGCCGCCGCTCTAGGCCCCGTCGCCGCCCCTATAGGCCCCTCGCGGCCCCTTCACGGCCCCGTCGCCGCCCCTAGCGGCCCCGTCGCCGCCCCTCTAGGCCCCTCGCGGCCCCTTCGCGGCCCCGTCGCCGCCACTTGCGGCCCCGTCGCCGCCCCCTCTAGGCCCCTTACGGCCCCTTCGCGGCCTCGTCGCCGCCCCTCTAGGCCCCTTGCGGCCCCTCTGCGGCCCCGTCGCCGCCCCTCGCGGCCCCGTCGCCGCCCCTGGAGGCCCCGACGCCGCCCTTCACGGCCACCTCGCCGCCCTTAGCGGCTCCGTCGCCGCCCCTAGCGGCCCCATCGCCGCCTCTACCGGCCCCGTCGCCGCCTCTATCGGCCCCGTCGCCGCCTCTACCGGCCCTTTCACCGCTGAGCCGCCCCGCAGCTGAGCAGCCGAACCACCCAGCAGCCGAGCCGCCCAACACCCGAGCCGCCGAGCCGCCCAACAGCCGAGCCGCCGAGCCGCCGAGCCGCCCAGCAACCGAGCCGCCGAGCCGCCCAACAGCCGAGCCGCCCAACAGCCGAGCCGCCGAGCCGCCCAGCAGCCGAGCCGCCGAGCCGCCGAGCCGCCCTGCCGTCGAGCCGCTACTGTTCCTACCGGCGCGCCCCGGCCCTACTTACTCGGACTGGTGAGATCACTCCCTGCTAGGCCACTGCAGTCATGGCTACCCCCAGTGTCTTTACCTTTGATGCTGAGGGTCGTGCTGTTGACTTTGAGGTCTGGGTCGATGACCTCCAGCTGTTCCTACAGTGCGATAGGGCAGACGGACTCTCCCTGTTCGATCTCACCTCTGGTGCCTCTCCTGCCCATCTTGCTACTGCTGACAGCACTGTTCGCTCACAGTGGGCCGCACGCGATGCTGCTGCCCGTCTTGCTGTGCGTCGCCACTTACCGACCACTGAGCGTGCGCACTTTAGCCAGTACAAGAGTGCTAAGACCTTGTACGACGCTGTAGTTGCACGCTACTCCTCCCCTGCCACTGCTGCGCTTAGCCGCCTCATGCTGCCGTACCTGTTCCCTGACCTTGCTGCCTTTCCCACAGTCGCTGACCTCATTACGCACCTTCGCACTAGTGACACTCGCTACCGCGCTGCGCTTCCTGCTGAGTTCTGTGCCAAGAACCCCCCCCCCATGTACATCACCCTCTACTACATAGTCACCCGGCTCCCTGACTCCCTTCGCTTAGTCAGGGACCACTTCCTCTCAGTTTGCCCCACCACTCTCACCGTTTACCTCCTCGAGGAGCGCCTCCTAGCAGCAGAGAAGAGCATAGTCGCTGTAGGAGCCTCTCGTGGTGACCCTCGCACCCCCGTCTTTGAGGGGTGTTCCCCCTCCCCCCTCTTGCCCTCTGTTGCTTCTACTGTTGCGGCCGACCTCGTTGGTTTCGAGTCGGTCGGCGCTGCGTCTGCCCCTAGCGGGAGACGCCGCACCGGCAAGGGCAAGGGGGGCAAGGGCGCTGGAGGGGCTGGTGGGGGCGGTGGAGGTGGTGGTGGAGGCAGTGGAGGGGGTGGGGGTGGTGGTGGGAGTGGTGGCGGGGGTGGAGGTGTCGGTGGCAGCAGTGGAGGCGGAGGAGGCGGCGGCGGTGGCGGAGGGAGCGGAGGCGGCGGAGGTGGCGGAGGCGGCGGAGGTGGCGGAGGCGGCGGAGGCAGCGGTGGAGCTGGTCACGGCTCTGCGCAGAGGAGTGGCTCCGGTGGTGGTCCGCGCCAGCAACAGCAGCGCAGTCGTGAGACCCCGTCCCCCCAGCAGCTTCGCGAGTGGTACGCTGGGCGTCAGCGAGGTGGGGGTACTGGTCCCTGCACCTACGTCCTCCGTACCGGCGACCGCGCTGGTGAGCAGTGCGGGGGCCCGCACTCCACCCAGCGCTGCTTCGGCCGCCTGACGGACGCGTGGCGTCACCAGTTCCCTGACGCCACTGAGATCCCTCGCTGGGGAGAGCTGTCTAGGGCGGGGGTTGCTATCTTTGATCTTGATTATGATGCTATTCTTGCTGCCATGTATGCTGTGTCTACTAGTGATGAGGGTGACTGTTACATGTGTGTTCCGCCTGACCCGGGCATTGAGGCTGCTGCTCTAGGTGCTGGTGAGGCTGCTGCTCTAGGTGCTAGTGCGTCTGCTGCCCCAGGTGCTGGTGAGTCTGCTCTCTCAGGTACCACGTCGGCTCAGGCCTTACACACCTTCACCCTTGACTCGGGTGCTTCCCGCTCCTTCTTTCGAGACCGCACCACACTTACGCCGCTTAGTCGGCCGGTTGCGGTCTCCCTGGCGGACCCTCCTGGGGGTCCTGTCCTTGCTAGCTTCTCCACTGTCTTACCGTGCCCGGCAGCCCCCTCTGGCACCCTGTCAGGTCTCTACCTCCCCTCGTTCTCTACGAACTTGGTGAGTGGAGCTGATCTACAGGATAGGGGGGTTGACCAGTTCACTCCTGCGAGTCAGCGGGTGACCCACTGCACGTGTGCTCGGACGGGCCGACACTTGGCCACGTTTACCCGTCGGCCGGGGTCGAGCCTGTACACACTGACTACTGAGTCTCCTCCGGTTGCTGAGTCTGGTCAGGTAGCTGCGTCGAGTCAGGTGTTTGCTGCAGCGTCCAGGTCTGGTCCTGAGTCTGCGCCCTGCTCGTGTCGTCTCCTGTCCCACCAGACTCTCCTCTGGCACCACCGCCTTGGTCACCCCTCCCTGCCTCGTCTCCGAGGCATGGCCTCCCGTGTCCTTGTCTCTGGTCTCCCCCGGTCCCTACCTCCCCTACCTCCGGGGCCTGCCCCTACCTGCGTCCCCTGCGTCGAGGGGCGATAGCACGCCGCCCCTCACTCCTCCGAGTTTCCTCCGACAGAGGCTCCGCTGCAGACTCTTCACATGGACGTGTGGGGCCCCGCCCGCGTCCGTGGCCAGGGTCACGAGCGTTACTTCCTGTTGGTGGTTGACGACTACTCGCGTTTCACCACGGTGTTCCCCTTGCGCAGAAAGGGTGACGTCGCTGAGGTGTTGATCGACTGGATCCGCGCAGCTCGTCTCCAGCTCAGAGAGAGTTTCGGCTCGGACTTTCCTGTTCTGCGTCTGCACTCTGACAGAGGCGGGGAGTTTTCCTCTGCCCGTCTGGGAGCCTTCTGTCGTGCACAGGGCATCCGCCAGACCTTCACGCTTCCGGCCTCTCCACAGCAAAATGGGATTGCTGAGCGCCGCATTGGCATGGTCATGGACGTCGCTCGTACGTCCATGATCCATGCGGCTGCTCCCCATTTTCTATGGCCGTTTGCAGTTCAGTACGCAGCGCATCAGCTCAACCTTCAGCCCCGGGTCTCGTTGCCAGAGACCTCCCCCACCTTGCGGTGGACGGGGAAGGTTGGCGATGCGTCTGCGTTTCGGGTCTGGGGATCTCGGGCGTTTGTCCGCGACTTGTCTGCGGACAAGCTGTCCCCCCGTGCTGTTCCCTGCGTCTTCCTTGGCTTCCCCCCTGAAGCGCCTGGTTGGCAGTTTTACCACCCCACCTCGTGCCGTGTTCTGTCCTCCCAGGACGTCACCTTTGACGAGTCGGTGCCTTACTACCGTCTCTTTCCCTACCGCACTGCGCCCCTCCCCCCGCCGCCGCTCTTCCTTGCGCCAGGTCCTCCCCCGGTAGACCCTCTCCCCCCTCAGGGTCCTGCCCCGTCAGGTGTGTCCCAGGTAGACGCAGTCGAGCCTGTCGAGGTAGCTGTTGACTCTGGTGCTGCTAGGGGCGCTGAGCCTGCGGGTGCCAGGTCTGGGTGTGCTGAGCCTGGGGGTGCGGAGCCTGGGGGTGCTGAGTCTAGGGGTGCTGAGCCTGGGGGTGCTGAGCCAGGGGGTGCTGAGTCTGGGGGTGCTGAGCCTGGGGGTGCTGAGCCTGGGGGTGCTGAGCCTGGGGGTGCTGAGCCTGGGGGTTTGGAGCCTGGGGGTGCGGAGCCTGGGGGTGCTGGGTCTGCTCGTGTGGCCTCTGGCGGTGCTTCGTCGAGGCGGGAACTACTCTCTCCGCAGGAGCTGCGCGAGTGGTTTGCCCGACGCTGGAGCCGTGCTGCTGGAGCTGGAGGTACTACTGTTGCTGCTGGTCCTAGAGGTGCTCGTACTGGCGGTACTGGAGCTGTTGGGACTGGGGGTGCTACTGGGGCTGCTGGAGTTAGTCCTGCTGGAGGTACTGCTGGAGCTGCTGGCGGTACTGGAGCTGACGGTCCTGCTGGAGTTGGTGCTGCTGGAGCTGCTGGAGCTGCTGGAGCTGGAGCTGCTGGGGGTGTTGGCGCTGGTGGTTCTGCTGGCGCTGGTGCTTTTGAGGGTGCTGGAGTTGGCGCTGTTGGAGCTGGAGGTGCTGCTAGCGCTGGTGCTGCCGCGGGGGGTTCTGGTGCTGTCCCTGCTGGTTCTGGAGGCGCTGCGCGGCCGAGGCCGTACTTCGTTCCGCTCCTTGAGCAGGTTCT